AAATAGTCACTTCGAAAAGTTGATTAAAAAATTTCTAAATAACTCAACCATCAGCTCTGTCTGTTAGCAAAATATCTCATGAACTACGAGGACTGGTTTTAACAAAACTTACAAACGCAGAAATGGTTTAAACAAATCAATTATTAATAATCAAAAGCTCTAACTCAGATTATTCAACCATTATTCTGAAAATGGCAGGATGCTTAAAAGGGATGGAGAAAATGTAAATATAAACAGAACGCCTTAATCCATATTTTATTCACGATGAAATATAAAAAAAACATCAAATCAAACTAATCAGGTAAATGTCGGCAGGTCAGTCGACTGAGGATAAAAATAAATGTCAGAGGCTCTTAGAAGTAAAGATGGGCAGAGGTTCAGCAGTCTGTAAAGAAAACATTCAGAATAAAGCTCCTGAATTAAAAAACAAAGTTCATGCTCAATAATCCAGGTAATAATCCAACAATGTTCAGTCAGGTCATCTAGGCGGTATTTTTTTTGCTGAGATGTTTCATCCTTCATCCAAAGGACTTCTTCAATCTGAGGAGCCACCAAACAAATTGATTCCCAGCATACTCCACAGTGGGAAGGAAAAAAAAACCAGTTTGCTGGTGCTAAGATGGTCTCCGGGGCCCGCCCTCTCCCCCGTCAACTCCTCTGAGACGGTCATGCCAACACCAAAATTCATGCTCCATAATCCTGAATTAAAGACTTTAATCTCCATCATCTGCAGCTCATAATCTCACCAACAGATTAGAAGAATCTGTAGAACCTCTGAGCTCAAAGGGCGAGGCTGAAGGTCGTGACCTTCGGGCCCTCAGGGGCCACTGCATTAAAACCAGGTCTGGTTCTGTTCTGGGCTCAGGAACACTTCCACAGGTCATTGTCTGTAAACACAGTTCATCCAAAGATGCTGCTTAAAGCTCTATCAGACAAAGAAGGAGCCAGATGTGAACACCATCCAGAACCACTGCTGTCTTCTCTGGACCAGAGCTCGTTTCAAATGGACCAGAACTGTTCTGAGGTCAGACGGATCCATTCAGGCTGTTGTCACTTACAGCCTGAATGGCTGCCTCTCTGATGGTATGGGGGTGTATAATCTAGCATGAGCAGCTCACACATCTGTAAAAACTCCATCAATGTAGAAAAGCAGATACAAGTTTTAGAACATCTCCTCCCATCCAGGACTGTAGAACATCTAGAATCCTCCATCAGACCAGAATGAGACAATGTTCCATCCAAAACCTCCAACAACTGGTCTCCTCAGGTCCTCCAGAACCTCCAACAACTGGTCTCCTCAGGTCCACCAGAACCTCCAACAACTGGTCTCAGGTCCTGGACTGTTGTTAAAGAAGTGGAGCGTCTTCAGAATCGTGGACCTGGAACAACTTTAAGGAGATGTGCTGCAGCCATAAAATTCAAAATGTCCTCTTTTTTTCAAATAATGAGACATTTTTTAGTCTAAACTTTTTAAATGTTTACCGTTTTATTTTGGGTTTATGAGATTTTCAAATCATTTGTTTTTATTTAAATTGTTTTAAAACTGAGCTTGTATTATTTTGAGAAAACGTTTGTTTTTCGTTCTTCCTTCCCTCTTCGGGCCTCCCTTCGATGGCAGAGCTGTAAAACGACGCGAGTGCTGCCGGGTCTTGGTCGGGCATGTTTTATGAACAGAACTATCCCCCCTCTCCAGGGGCCCACTTTCTGCCAGCTGTTCCTCAGGACCCGGGGGCCCGTTTATCGGACGAAGGAAGACGTTTCTGTCTCGGTTAGTTTACAAGGGGGAAAAACGACTGAGCATTCTCTAAAAATTACAGAGCAAGAAGCTCCGGGTTCAACCGGTGACGTTGGACCTTTCATCAGGAGATTCCAAACTAATTGCTTTACGGTTCTGTTCGGAGCGGCTGAGTGCCTCTGACTGAGCTCATTGAGATCTTTGATTGGACACCTTCTGTCTCAGATCTGATCTGAGAGAAACTTCAGCCTTTTAAAGCTTCAGACTGTTTCCTGCTGTAAAGATCATTATCGCCCGCTGCCAATGGACGAGGGGGGAGGAGGTTAATGTTCTAGCTCATGTCTGTGCGTTCTTGTTAGTCTGTACTGTTAGCAAAATATATTTTAAAGGGATCTCCGACTACTTGCAAATATTGGCCTTTAATATGTTATTTCTCTATTCGACTAAAAGTTATTGTTTGTGACGTATGAAAACTCCTGAAAAATGTTTAACATTTTTCACATAAGGACATTGCCATTATCTTGCAGGTGCAATGCATTCTGGGAAGATGTAAATCAGTTGTAGTGGAGACTAAAACGCAAGGAGTCCAGGCTTAAAAGTTATAACGTGACATTTATATTTTGTGTGTGTGTTTATGTGTGTATATTAACTATATTAGTTCTGGTGCCAACATATATTTTAGCTCAGGTGCTAACATTATATATACTGGCTTCGGCACCAACACCATCTATATTAGCTCCGGAGCTAACGTCATATATATATTAGCTCCGGAGCTAACACCATATATATTAGCTCTGGAGCTAACGCCATATATATTAGCTCCGGA